ATGTAATTATTTTTAATTTGGGCCCTTATCCGTAATTATTTTCACTTTTCAGGCCCTTATTTGTAAATTCCCCTAAATTTATTAGTTCATTTAAGAACTTCATAAAAAAAATGTTATGACAATTCAGATAATATTTTGTTCGCATAAACAGCCCAAATAATTATAAAAAACTTTCAAGTTTAGTTAATTATAAACATATATCAGTATATAAAAGTTCGTTTGTTATACAAAGGTGACAGTAGTTACAAAAGATTATTCGATAACCTTTTTATAATTTAAACTTCTAAAAATTGTTAATGTTTTATTTTTATTTTAAATTAAAAAATTGTTTAAAATTCTCTGATAATGACTTTGCCATAACTGAAATGGATAGCAGTTAAAGTAACATTCCCACAAAGTGCTACTTCTATCTCTTTTGTTTTCTCGAAATTAAAATAATCATAATGACTATTATGAAAATACAAAGAGATTAGGTTAGTATTTTTACAAAGAGCTTCTACTAATATCTTAACAATGTTAAATTGATTTCCATCAAGAGATAAATCGGCTAAAGGGGGTTTTTACTTAAAGCTTCTGCTATCAATTTTACTTCTTCAAATCCTCCATAATCACCTTTATCCCCTTAAAACCGAGATTATTATTATAAAGACTCAGGGTGGTCAGAGAAGTATTTCTGCAAAGAGCTTCTGCTATTGCTTCACCTTCTTTATTGCCAAGATTATTATCACCAAGCTTTAAAGTGGTTAATGTAATATTTTTATAAAGCGCCTCTGCAAGTGCTTTTACGCCTTCAAAGGTAAATTGATTGTTATTAAAGCATATAGTAGGCAGAGTGATATTCTTGTAGAGAACTTTCGCAAATGCTTTTATTCCTTCATCTCCAATTTTGTTCGAGTCAAGATCAAGAGAAGATAGTGTTGTATTTTTATAAAAAGCTTCTGATAATACTTTTGCCACTTTAGAGCCGAGTCTACATTTAACGAGTATTAATGAAATTAAGCTAATATTTTTACAAAGAGCATCTACTAGTGTTTTTACATCTTAAAGACTAAAGTTAATATAAGTAAGGTTCAATGAAGTAATAGTTGTGTTTTTATAAGGAATTTCTGATAGTTTCTTAACTACTTTATTATTGTTGGTCTCATATATAAACGCATACTTAATTTTTTCACTTGTGGGTAATAGCATTGTAATTAAAGAATCTTTAACTATTTGAACCACATTCAAATCGTTACAATATTTAAAATTTTCATGACTAAGCCAGTTTCTGATTCCTCTTTCTAAATCAAAATTGTAAATTCGTGTATTATAAGATACATATTCAAATAATAGTTTTTGTTCATTTGGAAATGATATATTTAATGGAACCAATGACTCTTTTTCTTCAACATTCAATGATAAAAGGTATATTCTTATAAGTTTCCAACCTTGGCAATATCATAATGGATCACTCCATAATATTGGAACTACATTTCTACACCATTGGCGGTTTACAAGAAGGCACGAAAATAAATCTCTACAATAGCATTTAAGATTGTTGAGTATTTCAAGGAAGCATTCATTTAGCAATGCTATCATTTTAAAGGTTAAGATGTCAAAATTATGAATATACTAAAGCTAATTTTTTTATAGTAGATAACGAATTTACTATCCGGAGTAAGCGGAGACCTATTTAATTTTTGTGCATTTATGTATATACGTTTTTAGTGTTTGTGTAGCAAATTCAGCGTACTGTAACCGACTTAGGTAGCGCACCCACAAAAATTTTCTACCCGCAATTTTTACTAAGAATAAACCACGTTATAGTTAGGTTAGGGTGAGAACAATATAGGGTTAGGGTGAGAACAATGTAGGGTTAGGGTAAGAACAGTGTAGTATTAGGGGTGAAGTTAGTAGTAAAATTTCACGAGGAACTTTTTTAATTAGCTCATAGAAGGTGGTTTCTTAATTAAAATTTAGAGTTTTTTCAGTTTTTGTAAAAAAATTGGTTCACTTCAATCGGTTACGTTGCACCTGATCTTAAAATTTAATTGGTCAAAAATTATGGGAGAGAACAAGTGCGCTATGGGGCGAAGTCACATGATAACTCATCTCTTGATCTATTGTGTATACACGTAAATCATAACTTGGTTCCATTGTAATTCTCTGTATTAAATAATATCCGTTATATCGAGAGCCACTATAATATATGAGATTTTGGTATTACAGAGCTTTTGATGTAACGGAGCAAAGGACTGGAACTATGGCTTCCATTATATTGAGAGCCACGTGTACATTGTAAACAGTCAACTCTCTTTATAGCAAACCATTTTATAATTAATCCTGTAATCCACCTTGTAATAAATTTTTTAAAAAATTTACAGTATAGGATGAACATAGTGAATTACTGCTATAGAAAACTTTTAAAATTTTACTATAAAAACTGTCATTTATTTAAGAAAATTAGCTATATGTGATTTTGAATTTGTTTGTTATTCATATTTCAACAAAATAAAAGTAACAACATATGCAGATATACAGTAAACACAATAAACAACCGATCACAACTCATTCGTATTATCATGAAGTCTTCAAGTTAGGAAAAAAATCTTCAGTATAATTTATATTGCGAGAATACCAAATATACTTTAATAGTTCTGTAACTCAAAATCCTTCATTATTTCAAGGGTTTTCACTATAACAAGATGAACTGTATTTGAATAAATTGACTCTTACCGCTATTTAACTTAATATATTTTAGAACTTTATAATCTTTTATAGCATCGTACATGAATACAGATTCGTTTATAAATCCAATTATGGCAAAAGTTTTCTGTAACGAACTTCTCATAATGAGCTGAACTGTAAATTTTATTATTTATACAATTTAATTCATAATTTATAGTACATTTTGAATCTGGTTGCAATTATAATTTAATATTCACATGTGAAGATTCTTACGATAATAATCTTAGCATGATTTATGTCATGTGTCAGGCTTATTATTCTTGCTCGGATCTGTTTATTGAAGATAATGAAAATACACTATGGGAGCAAAAAGAGAATCACAGAAAGAAATAATGAAGATACTCTGTTTTTTTTTTTTTTCCTTTTTCTCCCTTTTTTTTACTCTTTTTTTTTTTATTTTTTATTTTTTTTTTTTAAAAACCTATTTTCACTGATATACCTTGCATTGCTGTGGGAAAAGATTAGAGTTAAAGCTCTACTAAGTTTGACACCCAACCTCCTATACTTATAATTTGTGTAGCGTTAAACCTGCTTTCATTGCACCAGTCGCACCACCAATACATAAACTATGACCAGAATATTTGCCCTTTAATTTTGCATGGCACGTTATTCTTTTTACTATTGCATTTATTGCACTCGTTGATATACATTTTTCTAATATATTTACAAATAAAAAATCCTGTCCTTTTACCTTTCCTCTCATCTCTAAGTATGGAAAAATCAATTTCACAGGACAATATTTTGATTTTGTAGGGTTAATTGGAATGAATTTTTCTTTTGCAAATTGATCTGTTTTTGACTTATTTATTCTAACCCACAAAAACCCTTCTTCCATTTTAATATCTGCCACACGAAGATTACAAAGTTCTGCTAGTCTCCTCATTGTTCGGAGCCCTAGTGCTACTAATGCACAATCCCTTTTTCAAATTTGTCTTCTGGCCCCCCTAAAGGTGGGTTATTTATATAGTTTTGCAAAGCTTCAACCAGAAAAAGGTCTCGTGGCCATACTGCTTCTTTATCAACAGCTGCTCATTTCAATAAATTTCTAACAAGACATTGCATATTAAATTTTTGGGTTTGTCTGGAATCTCCAACCTACGATGGTAATAACCTATTGCTATTATATACCAATGAAGATTACATGCTTTTGATAATAAGTCTAACCAGGTAAGAAATATCATAACTGTTTCTAGATGGGCTGGTCACAAATTTAACTTGTAGCAATTACAAAAGACAACAAATTTGTTCCATAATGCTATAAGGCATTTACTTTATACCAATCTGGGTTCAATAGCCTCATAAGCTTTCTCAAGCAGAGTTTTTAAAAACAAATTTTTACCGCCTGAAATTTCCATTGTGGGTTTTTCCAAGGCTCCGGCATTAAGCTGCTCTCTGGGTTTGGTAAAAAACAACCTCTTGCTAGTGGAAGATCCAACACTTTGACCCGCTTCTGTAAAAAAACTAGCCACTATGTGGCTGAAGTCCAAACTGGTATAATTAATACCACTTGTGCTTGACACTGAGCCCCATGTTTGAATACTCTTTGAATTAGAGCAAACATAATTGTTTTTCCGCTTCCAAAATACTGTGAAACAATCTACTGCTTTTGCCTGAAGGACAATAATAACGACTGTTGAATCATTTTACCTTTCTTGTTCGATAGCTTGCCATCTGATTTATCATGAATGGTCCCCACTTTTTGTTTATTTCGATATATCAGATATACGTTCTGAACCAACTCCCAATCTGACTCATCGAAGAAGCGAGTTAATTCGTCTGCAAGATTTAATCGCAAAGACACCCAACAAAACTCGTGAATCTGAACATTATGCTTGTCGCAAAAATTCCAAACTTGATGCATTATATTCTTTTGCCATAGTTTTTTCCTCTTGCTTTCACGCAACTTGATTGTCTATATAGACAACAACCCAATGATGTGCAATTAGATTGACAAATGCCTCTAATCCTAGTAATGCTGCTGTTGCTTCGAGAAGAGCAATATCCACATGCTTGTGACAGTATTTTCAGTTTCCAATTGCTTTTCTTTTCTTCAGAGTTGCCAACCACACTGTGGTTGAAGCATCGATGTATACTGAAACTATCTGGGAGGTTTCTAGGCCCGATGACTATTTTTTCATTAAGTTTCCTTGTAGCTATTTTATATCAATAATGGCTTAATTTGTCAAATTTACTGAATTGTCCCACTTCTATTTTCTCTGATTTTATGCATTTATTATCGAGTAAAACTCTAAGCAATGAGTTTCGAATACACGAAAGCCTGACTCAATCTCATTATCTTTCGAGCAATAGCCGACAGACACTGAGCTGACAACGGGTTCGACAAAAGAAGGTTCTGCAGACTTTTCAATGCACTGTTTATTTTGGATTCTGGTGCAATTACATAACCAGTTTTTGTATTCAGTATTAGGCCATAGTACTTCTGTTCCTGTATGGGTTCTGAGCACCCTTTTTCGAACAGAACAAATCCGCAATTTTTTAAGTCTTGAAAAATTACCGAATCCCTTATGTAAACTAACATCTCCTTGCACAGGTGTGCACCTATATATCGTCAAGATGGTTGTCACAAAAAATTCCTAATATTCTCCAATGACCTATTAATGGTCTCATTATTTTCGCAAAAGTCCATACAGCTAAACTTAGGCCAAAAGGTAACACCCAATAATGATACCATTTTGTTCCTATCCTGAACCCCAGTAGTTTTTGTGCTTTTGGTTCATTAACACATGATAATATCTCTTTTTTAAATCCAGCACTATCACCCACCAATTCTTTCTCATCATCCTCAAAAATGTTTTGAACCCTTCGAACCTGAAAGACTTTTCCGGAAGAGTTTGTTTAAGTGCCTCAAGTCTATGATCAGGCGCCATTTCTTTGGCCCAGGTTTTGGTATCAAAAATATTGAGCTCATTTCGAGCAAATGTGATAGTCGGTTTTGAGAGTCCGCAACTAATACTATCGCCCCTGTCTCTAACAACCTTTGTATTTCCATTTTTACTTATAATTTCTGATCCTGAGTTAACACATATCGAGGCAAATCTGGTTGTTTCATTAGCTCCAATAGCCCCCTCGGGTACAATGGTATACAATTCTTTAACCAACTTAAAACAAGCTTCAGAGCTTGTATTTTTCGTTCCCAATAATTTACATGTTCTTCCCAGTGTATCCGCCCTACAACTGGTATTAATTGTTGTGCCCAAGTGTAGTCAATCACGCTTATTTTCTTTACTCGATCCTGAATACTTGTTCCTATAGGTTTTGTAACCTCTTGACTTAAATTCAAACCCTCTTCCTTGATCTGAGTTTTGTTAGGGATCAGATGGGCATGCGTTTGCATAATGTCCTGCACCACCACAGGTATAACACCTATTCTTTGCACTAAATCCCCAATTACAGTTCTGGAAACCTGACCAAAAAAATTGTTCTGAACTTGTTTGATATTTTGATGAAATATTTTGATTTTGACTACGTTGATTACCTCTCCAATAAGGCTGGGTAGTTGCTTCTTCCAAGCCATAAGTTTTCCTTTTTTATTTTTACATACTTCTGCCAGTGCTTTAGCCTTTTCAATCAATGATTTTTTACCTTTCAATAATTTATCCTGTGTGTTTGGCAAAGCTGCCGCCACATCTCATCCAAAACCTTCTGCTACCTGTAAAGTAACCAATCTATTCGATACAAACTCTCGCGTGCTAGTCACATGATTTATAATGTTCGTTGCATGTTGCAAATCTAACGCCAAATCTAACTCTTTCCCAATCGCACACATTGCATCATATTCATGTTGATCCCGAGCTTTATCAAATTTATAACTTGGCCAAGATTCATTTATTTCCACCTTATTTACTTGGGCTGCTACAGAATTTAACTTATAGTCAAAATCTGCTATCACACTCCTCAAATTTTTAAACTCTGAAGCCAACAGTTTCTCGAGAGAGTCACCTTGATTATCATTAATATCCTCTTGCAGTCGCCGCTTGTTTTGTCTTATGGAATTTCTAGATAACTGATCACTTATTTCTTGCGTTAGTGTAGAGTCTGCTGGTTCCTGTTGATTCACTGAATCCTGGTGAGTATTTAATGATGGTTCTCCTGAAATAATTTTCCTCGTTTGCTGCACACGTTCTCTTAATGAATTTATTTCAGGGTTTTCACCTGCTGTATCCAACTCAGCCAAATGTTGGCCGATAAACAAATTTATGTCCTCTGCACATGTTTGATTTTCTCCAACAGTCATGTTTGAATTTTCCATCATATTCGAATGAGACCTTAACCTCTGTATCAAATCTGCTTTTACACCTTCCGAAGGCAAACCCAAGCTATGACAAATTTCCTCTAAATCACTTTTCGATAAATTTGATTCTGACATTACCAACTATTTAACGTTATCTGAAATCTTTTCTTCTTCTTTTTTTTTTTTTTACTAATAACTACGCCAAAAATTTTTTTATGTATATATTTTGTTAAGTTTGCTTATGTATATTGGATTTAAAATTCTAATTTTTATTTAGTTTAATTTATTAATGTCATTACTGTCATTACTTAATCGCTACTTGCTAGAAGGGACATTACGAAAGAGCCAGACTAATGTCAGGCAGCGAAAGAAAAAAGCACTATCGATCACAATCCAACCCCCTAAACTTATATACTAAGTGCACCCATTCCTTACATTTTCCCACCTAACCCTAAATAGCAACATAAGGCCGCCATTACGCCCATAACATTCGCATGTGAAGATCCTCGCGATAATAACCTTAGCATGACTTACGTCATGCGTCAGGCTGATTGCCGATTTTTTTAACATTACTTCTGATGACGTATGTATATCATCTAATATTAAACCATATAAAGTCTTATATATATTTATTTAGCATACATTTTTTAAAAAAAATTTCATTTCTAATGACTAAATTATTATCCCGGAGCATGCTTTGGATGCACAAATGTCTTTTTTATCAACTTCTAAAATTTATTGTAATGAAAATATAAGTTATACTAAAGTTCCTTAGCACTATCATGTAATAATCCTTATAAGATTGAATTTAGTCATTAATTTTGGTTTGTTTATTTTGTTTAATACTTTGGGTGATATGTTTAATATTGAAGCATGTGATCTCTTCAATTGCTTCCAAATCCTTTCTTAATCGTTCTTTGAGTTGTTTCCAATTATCCAATACTTTAAAGTCGATTTCTTTAGATATTAATTCTTTGTAATATTGCCATTGTATGTGTCATAACTTCTTTTATAATTTCTTTTCAAGTTTGATATTTCTCATTTATAATGAACAAGATCGTTTTCTTGCACATATAAGAATTCATGCCAAATATGAGCTTTGGATTGGTCTAATATATAATTAAAATTATCTAACAGGGTGATAATATAAAAATCTTTATTCACTAATGATGCTCGTAATTTAGTTGTAGTTTTTTTGAGCTCTTTATTTCCAATGAATGTGCCTTGGTGTATAAGTACTTGATTTGGTTCAGTAGTTGTTAAATTTACTACAAAATGTTCTATTTCAGAAATTTCTTCCCTGAGTTGTGAATAAGGGTGTGCCTCCTTATCAAATGATACGAATATCTGGTTTCGTTGTATATCTGAAATTCTTTTGAAATGCCCTTTTGTTGTTGATATTATTTGTACTATAAATTTACTAAATACTGATCCTTCTAACAATTGTATCAGTCGTATTTTCGCAGTTATTTGTGACCTGATTATTGAGATTGAGTTTGTCTCAGATAAAACTGGTATATTGTTATTGAATAATTTCTTAATTATCCGGTCTAAGTGTGATAATATTTGGTGTCTTTTAAAACTAACACTATAGTAATTAATTTTTACTGGTTCTTCAGAGTATGCTATCACTGATTCTTCTTTAGTCCTTTCAGATATTGGTGTTGTAGTCAGTGTATCTATCACTATATTTTCAGTTGGTACTTTTTCTGGTTCAATAAGGGTTTTGTATATTGATTCCAATTTTGTTTTGTAGACTCCTATTTCTTCGTTCAAATATGATAAATTATTCATTGGCAATTTCTTGTACTATCGTTAAGCAATATGCTTGTAGGGTTTTTAAATATATTTCAATACTCGTAGTGTTGATAGCTAATTTTTGGTATGCAGTTTTGACAACTCTATTCTTTTCTTTCAAATTAAAGTAACTTTGGATTTGTTTCAGGGTTGTAAGATATTTTTCCAGAGTTTGGACGTGTTTTAATAAGTTAATATAGGTTTGAACTTTTATTTCAGTTATCATCAATTTTAGATTCCTGTTGATCATGATACTTTTGTAGTGCCTTGTGATAAGTTCCTTTTAATAATTGTTCTACTGTTGGTATCAAACACTGTTCTCCGTGGTATTGTCCTAAGTCACTTTCTGGTATAAGTATTTTTATTATATTGTGGACTCTGTTATAATATTGTTTATGGTAATGTTTTCTTCTAAACTCTATTCTTAATATTCTGGTTCTTGCAATTTCTTTAGAGTCTTTATCCAATAAATAGATTTTAATATAATCTAAATATAAGTTTTGGGTGTTTTTAAGCCAAATAGAATATTCTTTTGATTCGTATGTGTTATTTATTTCTAAAGGTTTTCTTTCCTTTTCCTAGAAATCGTCAGTTATTTTCTTTAGTATTATTCTCTTTAAGAAATATAATAAGTGTTGGATCCTTGCTTCTATTTCGTAAAAAGTTAAAGTTTTCTTATAAAGCAATTCTGATCTTTCTTTTGGTGGTAAATATTCTAGGTGAGTAATGTAGTCTTTTGTTAAATTTTCACAGAATTCGTAAACTT